TTTAACATCTTTGTCTGATGAAGAAGCCAGTGAAGCTTTGAAAGCTTGTATGAAGTATTTAGTGTTTTTTAGTTGACCCAGCAAAGGTATGTAGATTTTGGATTTTGTTGTATTAAACTAAGGCAGTTATACTTTGGCCATACCATGAAATGGCATGACTCACTGGGGGGAAAAACTCTATAACATTGAGTAAATAGAACAGAATAGAATATATTTTTGTAATTTTGGTAATTTCTGTAAATCACTTTATTTATTTATTTTTACTATGCTGGCTATGTGCCGTAATAAATTCCTATTCTACACTGAGGAAAATGGAAGGCAGTCAGACAAAAAGACTACCACATTAAAGATGGATTGATTGGGTCAAGAAAGCCAGAGCCCTGAGTTTGAAAGACATGAGCAGGGAAATTGAGGACCAGGATCTTGGAGTTCTCTCATTCATAGGGCCACCATACATGAAAGACACCTAGATGGCAAATAACAACTACCCTGATAATGACGCAACAAGTGTTTCTCATCTTCAGACCAATCTTGGTTATCTCAAAATTCAACAGAATCAAAAATGTGACAGCATCACAGCTACAATGAAGAGTGGGGTCGGTGGGGTGGGATACATCATTTTCCCAGTAGCCAATACATCAATATATATCCACATCTTTAAACGCCAAACTGACTTTTGGCGAGCAGATTTATTGCTTTTGCACTAAATTAAATATTAAATGTCTGCTGGAAAAATCTGAAGTACCTCTGTTACCTTACCCAGCCCTTTGAAAATTTAGGACAAGGGCATGATTTGCATCTTTCTGGATCCTATTACATTCTACTCCACTTCCATAAATGTATAAATATGCTTTATACCTGAGGGCTTAATACCACTCTACACTGTATCTGAAGCAGTGGATTATATCCATGAAGGCTCATGCTACAATAAAAATCAGTCTTAAAGATGCTGCCACATTCCTTTTCTCCACTTCCCTCCAATATATATGCATGAGGGAACTCTAACTCTGTCAGATACTTCAGCCATTGTCCTCATTTTCTCCCTGCTGTTGGAGAAAACAAATATTTCTGTGCAATTTTTACCTGGCATGCATACATCCCAAAGTGTTTCAAGAAACTGTACAGAAATACATAGAAGCTTTCTGTTTAAAAATCGTGAGAGAGGTTGTTCCCCAAGCACGTATTTGTACAAAATTCACTTAACACACATGGATTTTTGAATGAAACTGATGGTTTTTTTTGTTTTTTGTTTTTACATACCCCCCCCCCCAACATGTTTCAGGAAAGTGTTTTTCACCCATAAAATGTGATATGGCACAAAAAACAATTTTCAATAAAAATGTATTTTTCTATAGGGGAAACCCCACACATTTTGAATGTGAAAAGCCCACATGTATTTCTTGCAGAGAATAATTTCTCAAAATACTTTAGAATGCATGAACACTGAGGTGAAACTCAGCAAAATTCTTGCTTCTGTATTCTTCTTTTTATCCAGGTTTCCTGACCAACTAGAAGCCATATTTTTCAGCTGGGAAATGAATAACAACAAATATTCTTTCTGTCCCCACTGAAATGCACAGATACATGTTTAAAATACATGGGAAAAAAGTCATTCATATTTGAAATAGTAAATAAAGAAAACTCTAGAGTGAGGCTGTGTGTTCATAGCAGTTACATCCACCAGGTCAAAGATGGATCAGCCCCAAGTTTACTGAAACAAATGTCACACTGTCTTTTGTTTTATCAAAAGTGGCACTTGGCATATGCTACATATGATTGAAACTAAATCGGGGGGAAAGCACTTAAAATATTATTATATATGGTTACCACAGTGAGGCTAGTATATGCCTCTAAATGGAAAAACAAAGATATACCTAAGGTAGAGGACTGGTTGTTAAAATTATACGATATGATTGTCCTAGATAATTTAACAATGTTGATTAAAGAAGGGAAAATATCCAAGTCAGAGGAGGAGTGAACAGAAGTCATAAGCTTTTGGAAAGAAAACGGGGGAAAATCTGTGGTTAAATATTTTGAAAATTAAGAGAAAGAATAATTTAAAAATTGAGAGAAAGAATATAGATATAGGTATAGAAACAGATATTGAAGTTATATAGGATTGAGAGGGAATATCCAAGTATAAGAGAAAAGAAATAGAGCTTGTTTAAATAAAATGGAAAACAAATAAAGTTTTGAGATTAGGATACACCAGTTCAGACAAGATTAGGAAGTCATTTGGATGTTTCTATGTTCAATTTATGGAATATATATATATATATATATGTCTGTTTTGATTACAATATATATAGTTAAATGTAGGTATAGGTAGTTAAGTTTTTGTTATTATATGGATATGTTTTATGTTTCAATGTTTAGGGAGTTTGAAAATAAAATAAATATTATGAGAAACACCCCCCCACACAAAATGGGCACTTGGCAAAGTACCTATTTTTGGGAGGGGGGACTACAGTATAGCCAGCATGGTTTAGTGGTGTGAGTGCTGGACTACAAAACTGGAGATCTGGTTTCAATTCCCAGCTTGGCCATGAAATCCATTAGATGATCTTCGACATGTCGCATGCTCTCAGCCTCAGAGGAAGGCAATGTCAAATCTTTTCTGGACAAATTTTGCCAAGAAAACCCCATGGTAAGGTCACTATAGGATCCCCATAAGTCAAAAATTACTTGAAGGCACACAATAGCAACAGGGAAGGGGAAGAAAATTCTGTGAAGCCATCATCCAAAATAAATTAATTTTTCTAAACTATGGTTAAAGGATCGTGGAGACTTGCAAAAGCTGGCCAGTGAAACCAGTACAGTTTGGCTCATTTGAACAGCCCAGCAAATAAATCCTTTAGTGTTTCTGACTGGATCCTGGTTTGCATTCCCCTCTGCTTTCCAGGGAAGGCAATGGCAAACTTCCCGTGAACATATCTTACCAAGAAAGCCCCATGGTAGGGTCGCCTTAGGGTCACCATAAGTAAAAAAATGACTTGAAGGCACATAACAAGAACAACAGTGTATATTGGGAAGGGGAAGGAGGCTCTAGGAAGCCATAGTCCAAAATGAATTAACTTTTCCAAAATATGGTTAAAGGCTCTTAGAGGCCTGTAAAAGCTGGCCAGTCAAACCAGTACAGTTTGACCCATTTGAACAGCCCAGTGAATAATTCCTTCAGAGTTTCCGACTGGAGCCTGGTTTGCCTTCCTCTCTGCTTTCCAGGGAAGGCCATGCTTGTAGCTGTTCAGATGCAGCTCTCTTTTTTGCTCTCCCTCCCCGCCTTGTTTTGCTCCTCGTTAATTTTGTTTGTCTGTCTCAATTTTGCTGCTGTCGTTCTCCGGCTTGATCTCTATTTCCCCGATGTTCTCCATAGCCAAGATCGTTCGGCTGTTTTCGTCCCTGCTTCCCAGCTGTGCCAAACCAATACAGCTGTTGGATCGCAGTCCATCTCCTCACCGCCTTTTTTCCCTTCTGTGTATCCCCCAACCTAGATCATTTGGCCTCTTACAACAGAGATTTCCCTCTCTGATTTTATTATATTTCATACACATTCCTCCTTTTCCTCTTTCTTTCTTTCTTTCACAAGCCCTGGTCTGATATTAGATTTCAAATAAACAGGCCATGCTGGACAGCAGCCTGGGAAGGGCACAGGAGGCAAAGAAATGCCAAATTTCCCATCCAATGGTATCTCAGCAATCAAGTGGCCTTTCAGTTTCTCAGCCAATCAGTGGGTTCCCCAGGAAAGTTTGGGACAGGAAATACTTCTGTTTTTTTTGGCTAGAGCCACTCCATCCAGTGTCAGGGAGGCTAGAAATCAGCATATTGTCTCCAATTCTAGAATCGCAAAACTCCATTCAATAATTAAAACCTATTATGCAGATTGAGCATATTTACAACAACAATAATAAAGGGATAGCCACCATCCCCTTGCAATGCATACATTGTCCTTCCATCATCACAGAAACCTAGAAGAAGCTCAGAGTTACAGTTCCAAGCCAAGAGACTTTGTGACACTACTGAATAGTTGGCACCTCCCATGTGTATAAAACTATAGCCTTTCTCTTACATCTGAATGGATAGCAGCAAAAGATTCAAGTAGAAAGTGACAACTCCCAATGGCTCAATTGAGGGCTCATCCCATCTGGCCAAAAACATTGGGATTTGGAGGGAGTTATACCTGCACTTGAGAGCCACCATGGTCTGATGGTTTGAGCATTGGACTACAACTCTGGAGACCAGGATTCAATTCCCCTCTCAGCCATGGAAACCCACTGACCATGGAAACACACTCTGAGCCCCAGTAAACCCCATCAGCACCTTAGGGTCACCATAACAGCAATGACTGGAAGGTACATAACAAATACTTGTACTTACTAGGGTTTTAAATACACACATACACACACACACACACACACATACAAAACGAGTGTGTCCAGAGGAGGGCGACTAAAATGGTGAAGGGTCTGAAAACCATGCCCTATGAAGAATGACTTAGGGAACTGGGTATGTTTAGCCTGGAAAAAAGAAGGTTGAGAGGTGATATGAGAGCCCTGTTTAAGTATTTGAAGGGATGTCATATTGAGGAGGGGACTAGCTTGTTTTCTGCTGCTCCAGAGACTAGGACCCAGAACAATGGATGCAAGCTGCAGGAAAAGAGATTCCACCTCAACATTAGGAGGACCTTCCTGACAGTAAGGGCTGTTCGACAGTGGAACACACTCCCTCGGAGAGTAGTGGAGTCTCCTTCCTTGGAGGTCTTTAAGCAGAGGCTGGATGGCCATCTGTCGCGGATGTTTTGATTTTGAGTTCCTGCATGGCAGGGGGTTGGACTGGATGGCCCTTGTGGTCTCTTCCAACTCTACGATTCTATGATTCTATGACATCTCTTCTCCCAGTCTATTTTTTGTGAATTTCCAGGACCAGGTGTGATTTTTAAACCCAGGGCAGGGAGCGGGGTTATTTTCTGCCCCGGAAAGTTCCCAATACAGACAGGGCTATATTTCCATGCCTGTATCCATTGTCTCAGTTCCTCCTGTATGTCTAAGAGGTCCAACTGATGACATGTTGAAATGGGAAGTGAGCTTTGCCGTGCAGGCTTTCCTGATGTTCCTCATGACATTTCTGGTTACCAGACTGAATGTTTCTTCTTCTACGCCCCCTGCTCCCTCCTCCTTTACAGTTATAGTGGCCAAGTGGTCTAGCACTTTACCACTATGACTACAATTTTTTTAAAATAAAAATATTATTGTGCAAAGTAGGGAATGTGGATTCGGAGGAGGAGTGCAGGGGGTTGTATTGAGTTCATAGAGGGAAGGAAACCACATCCACACCACATTTAACCACACCTCAAGCGTGGTGAGGGGAAGAATAGACAAAACCCTGGTACTGTATATTCAGAGCATGACCGGATATGACATCAGGAGCAACTGTTAGAAGGTGTGAAAGCAACACCAGTATCCCCTACAGATGGCTTCCAGTCTCTGCTTACATATCTCCATTGAAGGAAAACCTATTCCATCCTGAGGCAGTCTGTTCCACTGACCAGCAGCACTTAGAAAAGTTGACAGTTTCCATGCTGAATTCTTGGAAGATGGTTTCTAACTGGGACATTGGTAGACATGCTTCAGATTGAGGCTACAGATAATAATTGGAAGCCAAAAAGAGATGAGCCAAGACATTTTGCTGCCTTATATGTCCTCCTTCCACTCATTCAAGGTGCATCATAGCTAAGGCCAACTAACATTTTGACATTTGAGACAGAAAAATCCCAACTCTCTCCATCCTCACTAGTAAAAATATGACAAAACAAACAAATATGAAATTTTGGAGAAATTCCTGCTATGAATCTTTGGCTACAAGGTTTTGGTTTCTATAATGTCTTCATTCTGGATGGAAGATAAGAGATCATTAAGTGGTACATTTTTTAAAAAAATTAAAAGAGTTTAATGACATTTTCATACATTGCTCTGCCTAATGGGTACAGCCAGCCTTGTGCCATGCTAGAGAAGAATTAAATGGTTGTTTCTTGAGCAGGTATCTCAAGTCTGTTTTGGACTACACACTTACAATGGTTTGATACTACATTAACTCCAACACATCCTACAGAATCCTGGGATTGCTGGTTTGGTGACCTTGCTGGTAAAATAATTCTAAATACCTTACCAAACTACAAATCCCAGGATCCCATAAGATGGAGCCACAGCAGTTAAAGTCGTACCACAATGCTATAGTCGTATAGTGTGAAAGCGAATTTAAACTATTGTTACCATTTATTGTTTTAAACTGATTTTATTGTAAACCACCCTGATATTTTCAAATATAGGGCAGGATATAAATACTGCATTTTAATAAATAAAATCATTTTTAAAAATCACCTTGTTTCCACCTCTTAATATCAGCTGCTTGAGAAAGAAGTAGGCCTGCTCAGCCACACTGAAGTCCCTACTAATAAAGTTCCCAAGGTCTCGCCGGTCACCCACAGAGGCATACTTTAAATCTCATTTAATGATAGGAACAGCTCTATCTAAATGTAAATCTCAGAAAGGAGACTTATTTGGACCTGAAAAGGACAGAGAGGCAGAAGCTTAGCCTTTGTAAGTAAATGCCAGGCAACTTAAAGTTTTTGGATAGGCCAGGCTTGATTCTCAACACTCCAAGGCTAACTAAGGACCTTTGCAGACTGCCAGAAATAGTGCAAATTGAGTCCACTTTAACTGCCCTGGCTCAGTGCTAGGGAATCATTGGAACTGTAGTTTATTGTTGCACCAGAGCTCTCTGACAGAGAAGGCTCAATGTCTCAGAAAAAAAAATTCAATTCCCATGATTCCTTAGCACTGAGCCAGGGCAGTTAAAGTGGCCTCAAGCTGCCCTATTTCTGCAGTCTGTAAAGGCCCTACATTTCTGTTCTGTCCTTCTCAATGCAGAACTACCTTCTGCCTGCTCTGTGTTAACTTAAGATCTCTGTTCCCCTTTCCAGCAACTCCCATCAGAGAGGCCCTGGCCTGACCCTGACACTTCATTTTTCTGTCTCTTCCCCCATTTAGCAGCTCCTCTAGGCCAAGAGCAAGCCAATTCTTGCAAAGACAACAACCACAAAAAAGGAGAGCAGCAAAAGAAGGAGAACCTGATACATTTGCCACCCCAAATGGAAGCTGCATCTTTTAAACATGTTATGCAAATGTCCCTGTTTTCCATAATTAATTCTGATTACAAAATGAAAAGAGAGAAAAAAGATCCTGCTGAAACGGGTACAAGGACCTGAGAGGTGGTAGTTCATGGAAGAGTCAGCCTTGCCCTACTAGGACAGAGAAAGAGAGATGGAGAGAGAGAAATACACACTGAGCAGGACAAAGAGACACCAGCCAAGAGAAGGATGGAAAGGAAAGAGCACGAGATGGTCCTTCTCCAGCGCAACAGTCAGAATGGGAAAAGGGTATCTTTCGCAGCCCAAATGCATGCTTGGCACCCACACCACCACAGTATGTCATGGATTAACAAGAGCTCTTTTGGCACTCGGCAGAGCCAGTCTGCGGGGAGAGAGAACAA